TAAAGTTATGGAAGTTATTGAAGAAGAATTAACTAAACTATCATTTTTGGAGCAACATTCGTCAGAATTTAAGTAAATGATTGTTTTGTATTTAAATTAAATTTTTGTAATAGAGATAAACATTATATAAATTTATTTGTAGCTTCTAAATTATTGAACATTTAGAAGTTTTATGTTAGATCTAATCATGAATTTTTAAATTATATTTTTTAGTGTTACAAGAAATTATCTAGATTGGCTAACACAATTACCATGGGGTACAACTAGTGATGAAAATTTTGATTTAAAAAGAGCCACAACTATTTTAGATGAAGATCATTATGGAATGGAAGAAGTAAAAAAACGAATTCTAGAATTCATTGCAGTAAGCAAATTAAAAGGTTCAACTCATGGTAAAATTCTTTGTTTCCACGGACCACCTGGTGTTGGAAAAACAAGTATAGCAAAATCAATTGCAAGAGCATTAAATCGAGAAGTAATAGAATTATCATTATAATAATAATTAATTTATAATCCAAAATTAAATAATATATTATATTTTATTACATAGTACTTTAGATTTAGTGTTGGTGGCATGACTGATGTGGCTGAAATAAAAGGTCACCGTAGGACATATGTAGGTGCCATGCCAGGTAAAATGATTCAATGTCTGAAAAAAACCTTAACTGAAAATCCATTAGTATTAATTGATGAAGTCGATAAAATTGGAAGGTAATAAAGTTACAAAATGATTGTTTTAATTATAAAATTTAATTTTAATTATTTTGCTAGAGGACATCAGGGTGATCCTTCATCTGCACTTTTAGAAATGCTTGATCCTGAACAAAATGCTAATTTCTTGGATCATTATTTGGATGTATCAGTAGATTTATCTAAAGTACTATTCATTTGTACTGCTAATGTAATCAACACAATTCCAGAACCTCTGCGTGATCGTATGGAACTTATAGATGTGTCAGGATATGTAGCAGAAGAAAAAATGGCCATTGCAAAACAATACTTAATACCTCAAGGACTTAAGTCTACAGGCCTGAAAAAAGAACAAGTAAAATATATTTATAATAAAATTATTAATTTATGTATTTTAATATGTGATAATTAATATGTATTTATAGATAGAAATTGCAGATGAAAGTCTATCTACTCTCATTAAATCATATTGCCGTGAAAGTGGTGTACGTAACCTTCAAAAACATGTTGAAAAGGTACTTTTAATTAGAGTTTTAAATAAATATTATTTTTTTTAAATTAAATCTATGTTTTTTAATATCTATATGTATTTAATAGTTGTTACGGAAAGTTGCATTGAAAATAGTTAAAGGAGAATCAGAAAAAATAATTATTAGCAGTGATAAATTATATGATTATGTTGGAAATCCAGTATTTAACAAGAATCGAATGTATGAAGATCCATTACCTGGAGTCGTTATGGGATTGGCCTGGACTGCTATGGGTTAGTTGAATAGATTTTACTGCTTAGTTTTATTTATTATACAATAATTTTTATTTAGGTGGCGCTTTAATGTATATTGAAACTGAGTGGACAAAAGACCCAGCAACAATTATAGACAAGGATAAAGCTGTTGGCAACATTATGTTAACTGGTCGCTTAGGAGAAACTATGCAAGAATCTGGAAAAATTGCTTATACTGTGGCTAAACAGTTTTTAAGTGAACTTGATCCAAAAAACCAATCACTGTTGACTGGAAATATACATCTACATGTTCCTGAAGTGAATATTATCTAAGTTAAAAAAAAATAGATATAATATATTAATTTAAACTTTTTATTATTAATGTAGGGTGCTACGCCTAAAGATGGACCTAGTGCTGGATGTACAATTGTTACTGCCTTGTTATCATTAGCTTTAAATATTCCTGTACGTACCAATGTCGCTATGACGGGAGAAATATCACTCAAAGGAAAAGTTATGCCAGTAGGAGGAATTAAAGAAAAAACAATTGCTGTAAATAATTAACAATTTGATACTCCATATTATATAACATATGAAATAACTTTTTTCTTTTTTTTTAGGCTAAAAGAGAAAATGTTAATTGTTTAATATTGCCTGACGAAAATAAAAAAGATTTTAATGAACTTCCAAAGTTTATAACTGACGGGATCGATGTGCATTTTGTTTCATACTATAAGGATATTTTTAAAATAGTCTTTGAAAACAAATAATATTATTCCCTTTTTTTAAGTTTGTTAATTTAAAATTTATTGTTTGATTGTTAAATCGTAATTGTATATAAAATATACCTAGATGTTAGTATTTTTTTAAATAAAATATTGTAAGACTGTTATTTTATCATTTAATTTACTAATCATAATTTAATCAAAATAACTACTTTTTTGGAAGCATTGACTATTGAATAGACTTAAAACTAATACTAATATTATCTATCTCCCTATATTATGTGATCTACCAATGAGCCATGGGCTAAGTACTAGAGCTTTGCATGGCCTGTAATATGGACTAAACTGTACTGATGAAGAACATTTAAGACTGAGATTGGACTAAATCAATATGTAAGGCAATGCTACTGAACTAGACTAAATCGATATATTTTTAATTTCTAAACAAAGACTAAACAGGGCCCAAGAATCATTTTTAACTTTGTTGATTCTAAAAAAACCTTTTAATATGTTGTGTTGCGTATATTTCTGACAAAAATAATAAATAACCAATTTATTACATAATAATAATAAAAAATGATTGAGTTCTACCATGTATACAAATTGTGTTAAATTTACTGATTTACTATGAAATAAATTAAGATAGTGAAGAATAAACAATAAATATAGATTTTAAAATGTTGATTATAATCCAATCAGGTGCACACTTCAAGAAGTTTAAAGGGATCACCCGCCTCACAAAATTCTAGAAAAACATTAAGTATTTTTAGAAAGTAAGAGTGGTTTATGTCAATTTATTATTTCATTATAATATAAATATATATATATATATGTGGTTATAAATTATAATAGACCATAATATATTGGGAAATAACAGAAAATGTTAATCACATTTTGGTTTAAAATATTGTATATACCATTAAAAATAATCTATTAGTAAATCTCTCAAAAAAGACGTAATAACAAATATTTCTAAAAAATTCTAATGCTTATCTATAATAGAATTTTAAAATCATCTTATTTTATATGATATGTGTAAAACGTAGTAATTGTTTTAATCTACAAGTCTGCCAAGCCTAAACATTTATCTTCTCCGTTCAGGCTAATCAACCTATTTCCTACAATCAGAAAACTTTAAAAAAAAAATTTGCTTAAAATAATTTGCTCAATAATGATAAAAAAGAGTATAATTCTAAATATCTAATTCGATTTTTGCATTAAGCATTCAACGGACAACAATCCTTCTTATTTATCGCTTAACAGATTCTAAAGCATCGGCACTCAAAATAAACAATAGTGTAAAGCCATTATTCATAGACATAGAACATGTGTTTGAATGAGTAAGAGAGCTTCACGCCCACTAACCCAAAAACAATACTAGCATTCTACTTACGCTGACGAGGATGTTGTTCTATCCAAGCAAACCAATTTAACCAATTTATTATCTCTAAAAACTTACATAACACATTTTTAAATTTGATTAAAAAATATGGAAAACAAAAATAAATGAAAACAAATCTATTTTACATTCAACCTTAAAAAAGATCATTGTTCCAATATTAAAATCAACAATAAAGTCATTCCATCATCTGACTAAATAAAACATTTGGGCTTATAAACATAATAAGCACGTCACATGGGGACTCCATTTAAAAATAAAAAGATACCTATGTAGCAAACACAAGACTAAAAACTTCGCCTGTTTCTAAAATACATACATACTAAATCTAAAAATAAAGTTATTAATTTTAAAGACTTTAATAAGACCTATCTAATATTGCAATCTTATGGAATCTTAATTTGAGGTCTGGCCAAATCTTTAATATCCGTCCAGTACAAACTCATCAAAAGATTACTGTTTGAAAAATTACAGACACGCCGTGGTACATCGGTCATCAGCAATGTTTCCCTTTATAAAGATCTCAACATCTCAATCATTAAAGAATTAGCTAACAACCACATACTACTAGCGATTTCATTTCAAAATTTACTCCCACAAAAACCCCTTTATATACAAATATATCCCTATTCAAAAACCAAAAATGACTTCTAAAAAGGAATTGGTCCCGTGACCTATTAAAATAAAAAACAAAATTTCCTCATAAATCATTTGATTGTTAATTAAATTAAAAATTATGAGTATTACTAATGGGTCTCTTCCTCACAACCGTGTTTCTCATAAAAATTATATGCATATTATTTATTCTATGTATTATACAAACTACAAGTTGTAAATTTAATTTTAACAAAAGAAATAAAATAAGGATTAGAGTTAGAGGTGTTAAGACCGCAATATTATACTTTCAAATATCTTTATAAATTAATAAAAACTTAGAATATTTTGAAAATCATGTTATGTATAGAAAATGTTTGTGAAAATTATAAATATCCAAGATTATTTGTTTGTAACAGTCATTAAAAAATAAAATCGGTTAAATTGAAAACTGAATTTGGCTAAAAATTTTGGTTTTTTTTTAAAATTCAAATTTTTTTTTTGCTTTTTTGAAAAATGCGGGAAATTTTTAATTTTGACTTCTCCAAAGTTCTAATCAGATTCTCTTTGCTATTTTAAATCATCCTCGGAATTGAGGTATTTTTTCAACTACTTATCGTATATACACACAAAAAATACACTCATCGTCTTTTAAATCGCTTTGCTTAGATTCTTAAATAATTTCTATAAAAAATAGTTTCCCGCTTAAAATTCAAAATTACACGTAAATTTACCAAGAACAGCTGAGCGCTACAGTAAATATAAAACATTTTGTCTTATTGTATTGATAAAATATTGGCGCCAAAATATCAAGGTCATTGAAATCATTTGTAGATCTGAGATTTTTGTTCTTTAATATCTTATTTTAAATATTATACTCTATAGTCTATAAGTTACCATTATAAATAGGTATTTGGTACTAAATAATAAATAGTGAACTTTCTGTTAAAATAGATCTAATTATTTCGCTTACATTCGTGAATAGTAGATTACTTAATTTTATAATAAAATTAATTTTCATTAAATTTAGTCCACATCAACGATCATGAAATTAGTGATTCCAGAGATTTCTTGGCACAATCGTGACCCCGTACTTAGCGTTCATTTTCAACCTGTTGCTGAAGATGGATTTTATCGACTGGCTACTGGTGGATCAGATTCTCATGTTTTTGTAAATAATATTAAATTTTTCGATTGAAGATTCATTTTTACTGATTACTATTTGTATGTGTACAATATTTTAGATATGGAGAATGAAAGTAGATGGTTCTAATGTGACTGTTGAATTTGCTGCTGATTTGACCAAGCATCAAAAGGCTGTAAATACTGTACGCTTTTCACCCAATGGACAATGGTTAGCTAGTGGTGACGATGGTAAATAAATTGTTAATTTTATTTATTTATATAACAATTTATAAATATATTTATTTTTTCAGAGTCTGATATTTTCTTATGGAAATTTAAATCAGAAAATGGTCCTGATCAGAGACCTGATTTGTTGGAAGATGATGAATCCAAAAATCTTGAAAAGTGGGTTTGTCATAGTGTATTGAGAGGCCACCTAGAAGATGTTTATGATTTATCTTGGTCTCCAGATTCTAAACAACTGATATCTGGTGGTGTTGATAATAAAGCAATTATTTGGGATATTGAAAATGGTAATTATATTTAGTTTTAAAAATGATTTGAACTTAAATCAATACTTAAAGATTTTTGAATTAATAGGACGCTATAAAGCAATACTTAATGATCATAAAGGTTTTGTACAAGGAGTGGCTTGGGATCCTTTAAATGTGTATGCTGCCACTCTAAGTAGTGACAGGTAAATATATGATAAAAATTATATCAGTATTTTATATTAATTTATTATTTATTATAATAATTTATAGAACTCTAAGAGTGTTTAATACGAAAAATTGTAAATTATTCAGTAAATGTGATAAATGTGTCCCTTTGGAAAAAAAAAGTGATGGCGAAGAAATAAAAATTAGACTTTTCCATGATGATACACTAAAGTCTTTTTTCCGGCGGATTGCATTTTCCCCTGATGGTCAAATTTTAGTAACTTCATCTGGTATCGTAGAGACAATTGATGAGGAAAACAAAATTAAAAGTACCACGAACGTCAGCTATGTGTTTGCCAGAAAATCATTTACTAAGCCTGTACTATACATACCATCTCTTGACCAATATTCAGTTGCTGTTCAATTTTCGCCAATTTTGTATGAACTTAAAGAAGAAACAAAATCGGTGTTTGATTTACCATACCGGATGATATATGCCATAGCAACAAATACAAGTATTTTATTGATGGATACCCAACATGCTGCTCCATTTGCTTACATTGGTGATATACATTATACTCGTTTGACAGACCTATCATGGTAAGAACATAGGTTTAAAAAGTACCTAAATATTTTGAACATTTATTTAATAATTTTTATAATTTATATTATACATTAAACAATTTTATGTGTATCAGGTCTTCTGATGGACAGTTACTTATAGTATCTTCATCAGATGGATTTTGTTCAATTATAAGCTTTACAAAAGAAGAATTAGGTATAAAATACAAGGGTGACACACAAATTAAGCCAGAGCCAATAGAAATATTTGAGTCAATTGTTCAAGAAGATACTGAAGTTAAAGATCTTCCGATTATAGTCATTCCATCGCAAACGGAACAAAATGAAGAAAAACAAATTGCTGATCGTTCTGAAGCTCCTACAAAAAAAAGAGTGCAATTGGTCAGACTTTCTAGTCCTAAAATCAATAAATATGTAAATAAGTAACAGTGTAATTATTTATTTTTGTATTTTTTATTATTTATATGAGATTAAACAATTTTTTTTACAAACATTAGTCTTCATCATCAAATGTAATTTTCTTTCCTTCAAATTTGGCCAATGATTTTTGTTTACGTTTTGCTTCCCATGATGGATGTAATGTCATATCAATAGATTCCTCAACTTGTTGCTGCCTTCTTTCCCTTCGGTTGCTTATGTTATTTTGCTTGCCAATAATCACCCTTTTACCTTTATTAAAAATTTCTTTAATTGGTTTTTGATAATCTATTTTTGTCTGTTCCTCAATATTTTTTTTAGTTACTGGTGGTGGTTTGTAAACAGACATGTAGTCTTTATTGTCAGTAGTCATAAAAAATGAATCTACGGTTTCACAAACTGGTTTAACCTCATTTACTGTATTTCTTTGTCTTTTAAAGTTAGTTTTATTTGAAACACTTTTTTCGGCTTTTCTTTTTGATACATTTTTATCAATATTTATATCGGTGTTTTTAAGAATTTCATTAGTAGTCAAATCTAAGTTTTTCTTTGTTAGCTGAGTGTTTAAAATATTTGTTTTTAATTGTGAATGATGTAAATTTTTGTCTAGTGTTATTAAGCATTCCTCTTCATCACCGACTATTTTGTTATTGTTAGAGATTAAAACTTTTGAGCCTTTTGACATATTTTTATCTTCAACAATATTTGTATTGTTCTCTTCAATCAAGATTTTTTGTACTAGTGAACTTTCAGTTTCTGTAGTATTTACAGATTCAGATTGACTATCTTCTGATTCGGATTTAGTATCTGACACTGACATGGCATGTTCAAGCTCAGACTGTGTAGATTTAAATTCTTCCATGTTTTTAATTGTTTTATTATTCTTATCAAGAATTTTAGTTTTTACCTCATTTTTAACATTATTAAGTTGGATTGTTTTATTTTTATTGGATTTTTTTTTTGCTCTATATTTAACACCTAATTCATCTAATAAATCTGTTATACACAGTTTCCAATCTGGATATTTATTTCTAAAATTTTGAATTTCATCCATTATAAATTTATGTCCAACTAATTTCGCTAATGCCCTTGTCTCCAATGTTATGTCTGTACTATTTAATATTGTAGCAGAAGGTACTTCATTTTGTAAGGCATATTTTGTGACATCATCATCATTTAATTTCTATGAACAAAATTATACGTTAGTCATTAAGTTGAAAATGTAATAATATTATTATAATAAACTTTTATACCTTTATCACCATCAATTCATTGATAAAACGTTCAGATTTTTTTTGATTTTTTACAATTTGTTCTTCACTTCCTTTTTTTTCTTTTAACTTTTTTGCTTCCCGTGTTAATTTGTGGATTGTATGTACTTTTGATTTACGTACAATATGACGCATGGAAACAATCTAAAAAAGTATTAAAATTTTTATTTATCAGATATATTTTCTATAGACATAATGATTAAGCAAAAAAATTTTAAACATAGAATTGGATTTTTTGCATTAAACATATTAGTAAATAAAATATAAATTAAGTAAATTATAAAATTATTTAAATACATTAAAATAATAATTAAACATTAAAATTAAAATTAGTAAAAATCACCTGATTATTGAGAGAAAATTTTGATAAAGGCTCCATTGTAAATGTATTAGATATTATAAAATTATTTTCTTAAAAGTAATAAACATTAGAAATTCGAATCATTTAATTGAGGATACTTAAAAAGAATGAAGATTATTTAGATAATATTAACACGTTTTCTGCTATCGGTTTACTAGAAGCATTGATTATAGAATCGACTATAATCAATGCCATATATATAGTAATCAAGGTCTATAGATAATGTGAGTTGCTTTATTTTCAAAAATGGTTTGGTGGTCACGGGACTAAATATATTTATAAATATTATATTATATTTTTTATATATCTTTTATGTACATGAATATGGACTACGATATATTGTAATTAATGTATTATTATTTATTATTCAAATAATAACATTTTGGTGAAGCTTAAAATGTTTAGTATTATAAGATCCTGTTACTAGCGCGCATGGTGATTTAGTTTTAAATTACGGACTAGATAATATGGTGGTATATTGAAATTTGAAAGCGTAAATGCATAGTATCCTTTTATACTGTTTTTACTGTTCTACTCACTGTTTGGTCTATATCCAGGTCCATAATATTGCTGTGGTAACTGACTTGCTCATTGTAATTTATTTTTAATGTTCAGATTGTAATTGTTATTTTTATTAATAGAAATATGTACTGTGTGTAATTGTGTAAACGCTAATCGAGAACACTCAATAACTCTGTGTAGAGCCTTCCAATTTGAATTCTGTTTTTTAGTTAGTTGTTATGACATAAAAATACACATTTTTATGGTTTATTTTTTAACTTAATTTGTCGATTATTGTGTTTAATTGTGGTTTAAAGAGATATGGTCTTAATACAATTGATTCCCTTATCCCTCTACAATACTAATACCATTGATTATAGAATAGACCATTCTATATTCAATGCTAATGCATACTAATGTTATAAATTGACATATTTTTCTCAATTTTTCTTACGCGTACAATTGTAATGTCAAGTGAAAAAATCAAAAAATTACTTGTTTAATTAATACCACTAAAATAAGTATTAATATTACAGTAAAATCTCGGTAATCCAACACATATCAGACCACGCTACTGCCGGATTAACAAAAACGCCGGATCAGTGGAGAGTTCACAAAAAAACGCATTTTTACTTATTGAATTTTACATTTTTACTCGTATTAAAAAATGATTTAAAAATCTTTTAGATTGAGAGCAGTTTTCATTTTATTTATTAGAATTAGATCTGTTATTACTTAGTTTTATCTAACGGTTTATCGTTTATGATAGTAAATTTATATATAAATACATATTGGTACATATAGACAATAGATTAATACAGCCAGGTTACTGGACGTATCAGATTATCGAACGGCCGAATTACCAAGATTCTACTGTATTAATATTAAGTCCATTGATTGATCAACCAAAACATACTTAATATTTTAAAGTTTTCAACCAAAATATTAATACAACTATTATCAATAATTTCTATTACTAGATTGAACTTCTATAGTGGCTATACACAATATTTTTAAAAAATATTTCAATATTCTGGTTTACGTATCTAAACTAGTGATTGTTATATGACAGAATATTATAATACAATAAATCAAACATTTAATATTTTTTTTATGTTTATTTTATTAAAAAAAAAAAAAAATTATAAAACATACATTTTAATTTATGTTGTTATTGGACCATCAAGAATAGGTTTGTCAATAAATTTTATGGATAAATCTTGAGATGCACCTTCAAGTTCAAACATCACAAGAGTATTGACATGAGGTGATGGTTTTAGAAAAGGAGCTGGTACATAAAGTGTAACTTGAGGTCCACCGAGTGGCCAATATCGACCAAGGTTTACATTATTTAAAAATGCTACACCCTAAAAATATTAAATATTGTTTAAAAATTAAGTTTATAAATTGTAAAAATAAGGTTAAAATACTGAATTAACAGAATTAACTTGTTAAAACATACTTTAGTCCAGCCTGAAGTATCCAAATAAGTGTCTAAACAATTTGTATAGTTTTTTGGTAATGTAAACTGTGTTATATAAAATGCCGGTAATTGAATACTTTCGACATTTTTCATCATATTGATTGAAGAAATCCATGTTGTTTCATTCAAAGGATATGCAGTCATTTTCCATGGGCTTAATGATTTATTTCCAAGAAACACTTGGTCGAAAATTCCCTACAAAATTATTATTGTTTTATATACAATATTTAAACTAAATAATTATACTAGTTGATAGTTTAAATAAGTATAATACAATTTGATTTAATAATCATAAGTACAACACTTTTTGTTGCTAAAAATAATATGTCCTCAATCTTTGCTTTACACAATTTATCAAATATTAACTTCAAAACATTATATTATAGTATATAAATATTTATGTATATAGTACTATTTCAATCACAAGATAACAATTAAAATAATTACTACCTTTCTGTCTTCAATAAAGTCACCATAATTAATCCTTCCCTGATTTTCAACTAAAATACTTAGATTCTGAACAGAACGGTTAATGTTCAAACTTATTGTAGTATTACCTTTTAACCGATTCATGGTTCCCACTTGTACCTGAAAAAATATATTAAACAACAGTGTTTCAATAATATTAACTGTAATATAATTTTACTTTATCCAGATAGATGATTGCTCGATCTCTAACAGAGTTCACAGTTAGGTTTACTGGATTTTTGACATTTTTCTGATCATCTGTTAATGTTGTTTCATACATTACAAAACCAGTATTAATATCTAAGTCTTCAAATGGTAATGGAACATTGCTAATCACTGGTTTAATACGTTGAGTAACCTTTTCAAATATGCTAACCAAAGGTTTTAAGTAGAATTTACCATAGGCACCTTTAGGTGTGGGATTTGGTGATATCTCGTTTGTCACAGCATATTTCTTAAAATTAATAAATTAATTTATTGTATAATGATTAATAGATAGTTAACTATAATAACAACTCACAGCTTCTTCAAGTGTCTGTTTAATTTGGAAATACTTTTCGGTAGGATCTCCAGCTTCATCCAATGGAGCATTATAATCATATGAAGTCAATTGTGGTAAGTATCCAATACTATCTTTAGTGTCATTTGTATTTGCTCCTGATGTAAATCCAAAATTTGTACCTCCGTGAAACATATAGAAATTAAACGATGCATTCATTGCCAACATTATTTTCATTTGTTTTATAACGTCAGTAGTGTTTATTATAGATTCTGATTCTTGCCAATGAGTTAACCAACCAGGATAGAACTCTGAGTTAACTAATGGTCCTCCTTTTTGAACCTTTTTCATGAAGTCAAAACACTGAGAAACTAGAACAAAAGTATAGGGTAGAATAAAAATAAAAATCTGAAATAACATTTATTTCGGTACTAAGTAAGATTAATTTTCTCTTAAAGTTTTGATAACATTTTTCATACACCAAATTATTTATTAAGACTTTATGTTAATATTAACCATTCACGTAAAGTCCAAAATCTACAGTTGCATATACTTCTGGAATAACACCACAGTCAAAGTATGATTGACCACATCCATCAATTGTAAAAAGTACAGCCTTATTTTCTATATAACTTCTAAATAAATCTCGAATCCAAAGTTTATACTCAGAATCACAGGCATAATAACTTCCATATTCATTTTCTACCTAATGAAATGAAGTATGTGATAAATTTAATCTGTACCAAATATCTCAAAATTAAACATAGAATGTCTACAAAAAATATTAATTTTTTTACCTGGACCAAAATTATATTTCCTCCATTCCCATATAAATAAGGTTGAATTATTGGCATAAGTACATCAAACCATTTTGAAACATATTTTTTATAGCCTGAAATTTAAATACTCACTCATTAGTTATCTATGAAAAAATTAATAAAAATAATTTGATGTTGATAAATGGGAAAAAGTTAATATTGATCCAAATATAAATGCTATTTATATTATTTCTAATCATAAATTAACTATAAATAATGAAAAATCTATTATAGTCACTCAAGAAATAAAGCTATAATTTTTGTTAATTAAAAAGTTATGATTTTAATTTATTCACTTTTACTCATAAACCATCTAATTATTCCTTTTTATTTTTTAAGCTGTAATGGTTAACTTAATTAATAGATAATAGATAATAAATAATAAAACATATTTCATTAATATTTTGAGTGTGTGAGGTGTGTTTTTTATGAATTATATAAAATAGAACATTTTTGTTTTAACTATCAGAATAATTTTACATCAATCAATTTGTCTTATTCACTTCAAAAAAGTGTTAAATGATTGTATTATTCTATAATTGTATTATTATTTCTGTTACTTGAACACATCAATCAACAAGATAAAAAAAAATTATTTTTAAATAGTATCACTATAAAAATCTAGCCAAATATTTAGATACTTAAATTATATGAACATTAAACAAAAACATAAGAATTGACTAAAAAAAATAAGTTTATCTTATTAAATGGAATATGTTATATAGATTAGTAATACCAGATGTTTCTAACATTTCTTAATCATAGATCATGAATTTTTTAGAGAATTTTTTTAATATTATAATATGCTTTCTTCGTACTTGAGTTGTTAGTCCTCAAACTTTTTTTAGGTGTCACGTTTAATAACCAATAGGGAAATCCACCCTAAAAATAAAAACAATTGATTTGCCTATATAAATCTAAGCTTAAAAATAAAATATTAAATGAAAAAAATATTTTATAAATCATAAGTAGGTACTTACAAAATCTCGTTCAGCGCATATATATGGTCCTGGTCTTAAAATTAAATACATGTTTTCATTTTTGATTAATTTAATAAAATACTCCAAATCAGCGATCCCTTCAAAATTATATACCCCAGGAAATGGTTCATGTAAACTCCATTCTACATAACTGCATAAAACCCATAATAAATAAAAATATTAAAAGTTGAATTTGAAATACTTATTTGTATTTATAACATTATAACACAAATAGTCTATTTGTTTCATTTGTAAGTGAAAATAATTTTATATAGGTAGGTGTGTAAATATATTTCATTTAATTGAATTTAGTGGTCATAAAACTAGATCTTGTACATGTCTTGTAAAAATGAGAAGATAAAAAATAGAATTTGAGGAATGGGCAGTACCTAAAGAATATATTATTATGATTAACTTTTAGATTCTAGGTTAACGTTTTTAATTTGTAAGTTTTTTTATATTACTATTTATTTATTTTTTTTTGTTTTTAAACCTAGTTAGCTATTTAACTATATTTGTGATTATAGAGAAACAATTTATTCGTTTTACCAGTTTCATTAGTTTCTTTTAGAATAAAGAAAAAGTAGACATAAAAAAATATAGAAATTTATAACATTAATTAAAAAAAAAAAACTAATCTAAGTGATTTATTTTAATTTAATAAATAATAATCCTATTGCAGTAGAGAGTGATGGTATCTATAATGAACTAATCAAAAATAAACATCTAATTTTGTGTATTCTTTTTTATACATAGACATTGTTAAGTTACAATAATAATTTATCAAACATCCTAATAATAATAAATAATTAAATAGTATAGATATGAAATAGGTGCTCACGTTGTTATAGTATTTAATCCAGCAGCCTTCATTTTTTGAATTCTATCTTTCCAATAAAGTTGAGGGACTCGGAAATAGTGCAATGAACCAGAAACATATCGGAATACTTTGCCATCCTTGAGAAATTCATTATTTTTATAATCAATAGTAAAAGTCTAAAAATTAAATAAATTATAATAAATACCCCTTAAAAATAGTTATACATAATATAAAAATATAAAATTATTAGATAAATTCATTGAAACTTATACATTAATTAATAATAATTGTATTATTAATAATAATAGTAAAAATGTTCAAAGTACGAGTGATATTTTGTAAAAAATCCTATATTAAATTTATTATACAACCATATTAATAAAATTATAATATGCACCAAAAAACATTAAAACTAATGAAATTATAATTTTAAGTATTATTACTGGTGGATTAAGTTAAAAGTCAAAACACATCATTTCATAAAATTTGAATATTTATAACTTTTTTGTTGTTTCACCTTTTTAGACAAAGTTTTCATAAGTTATTTAAATCAAGGATATTTGATACATACAAAAATGAAATCTTTATTAGTATTATATTTTATAAAGTTTTAAAACTTACTGGTCTTAGAGTTTCCAAAATAACAGGACTGATTAATGAGCAAATAAAACACAAAAATATCCAGTTCATGTTTTATAGTTGAATGAAAAAATTCGTATTATTATTTGATGTTTGATGAGAAAGTTTTTGCGTAAATTATAAATATATACGTTAGGTATAGCTAATTTTTTTTTTATACGTTAAATTACTAAACAATATGAATATTGAATAAGTATTAACTAATAAGTATAGTTATTAATGTTATTATTCAAAAGTATATGAACGTTGGACCGTTTTTATCTCTTTTCAATGTCGGTATCTGACTAATAAATAATAATACATTTACTTACAATAATTGGTAGGTCTATATACCTAATTATTTGTTATCGGGTCATTACTTGGTGTACAGAACGTTGTTATTTATTAATATCTACACGTTTTAAATTGTGATATAATATACAGAGTACCTACATATTTTAATGATATTATTATTGACAGTCAAAATAATAAACAATACTGATAAAAAGTTTGTTGAAAATTGTAAATTTGTGATCTGTGAACAGTTTTTTATTTCATATTCATACAACTCAGATGACTATAGTAGGCAAGCCCGGATTAAGGATTGATTGGGCTCCATGACATCATAAACTTAGTGGGCCCCCTTTCAACTTTAACTTCAAAAAAAATTGTATCACTACATTTTAAAAACGGTATATTATTGTATAATTTTATCAGTACAAAAAAAATATAAAAGGCTATATAAATTAATAGTTATATAATAATATATTATACATGTATTATATTAATATAAACACTGTATTTGTTAAAAAAAATAACAATTTAATATTTATTATCATTTAGTAATTTTTCATAATATTAAATTAAGAACATTTTATTTTATAATTATTAATTATCTACTATACCGACTAAAATATTTATTTTTTTTTTTTTTAATGCATTAAAAATATTTATTTATATTGGAGAAAAGATGGGCTCCGGTCCGTGCCCTCTCATTAATCCAGGCTTGCTAATAGGTATATAGGTACCAACCGTAGGCGTGTTTCATATTATATTTATTATTAGGGTTTTGGACGTAGGAAGTAGGGCGAGTTGACACGTATATGTATTGAAAATTTGTAAGGTACAGGCGATACAGCATAATATAACAAATACGAGCAGATCTAAATACACCTAATATAAGACAAGTATTTATACGAATAGTGATTAGTTAAATATCAGTAGATGATAAACTGTAAAGAGAAAAAAATTAAAACTACTAGACAATTGAGATGTTATCCACTTGTGAGTTTTTGTATCTAAAAATACATTTTAACGAACTATATAATAGGTACCTATCTATAATATTACGTTTTAACTAGGTACCTTTTAATATGTGCTACTGATTCGTAAAAATGTGTGGATTTTTATTTTTGAGTCAAATGGATTTCTAATTTTTGGTAGCATAGTTTAAAAAATGTTAAATTACCTATTTAATTACACTTACGTCTTGGTTTAAGTCGTTTTAGAGTTCACAATGCAAAGATTCACAATTCACGTTCCATATTATACACAAATACTAGCTCCTAAAATCTATGCATATTTTGGAATCTTTTACTATTTTTTAATGTATATAAATTCTAGCGGCTAGAATCTAGCCTTTCTAATAAGTAATAACCAGTAACTTATAAAATAACAATCAATAACTACTTTTCAAATTATTTTTTTTTTTTTTTTAGTTTAAAGATATTTATTCTTGCAGAGTCAAATCCTTTTTAAATATACCAGAATTTAAAATCAATTTATTAATAATGATATATTTTAATAATATATAAATTATATATTCCAACATAGTTATCATAAGTTACATAAAAACTAGATAATATGATGTTAACACTGAGTTGATGCACTCTAAGGTTTCTATTATTAAATACTAACATAGTATATTAAATCAACATAATTTTTCCATTCACATCTCTTTTATATATTAATTAAATGTTAGTTGATTGAAAAATGTAAGACAATTTTATTTAATTTTCTGTATAAATCTATCTCTCCACTCACATATTTTTTTTAGTAGAGGAAGCTAAATACTTCATATAAATATTGAGCTTTATTAGGCATGTTTCATACTCATGATTAATAATACTTAATATTTTAGTAAAATGTACTTGGATATCAGAAAATTCTTATTAAATTTTCAAACACGGACAGATTTATATTTTAGTCAATGTTTGTAATTTATTTTAGATTTGTTGATAACATTTTAATATTTGTCTATTATATCTCAGTCTACAATTTGAACAAATTTTGTACAATTTATAGAAACTGATTTAAGTTTTAATGATTAGAATATATTTATTTACCATGAATCAAAATTTAAGGAAAAATATTCATTATAATATTAGAGGTAAATTAATGCAGTAAAATACTTGTAAAAATGAAGACATGAATGATATGGTGAAATAAATTTTATTTAGTTAAAAAGAAAAAAAACATCTAGCTAACCAAGAATTCCATTAAATTTCATGTAGTCAACATCGTAAACCTTTAAATAGTGTAAACAGACAATTGCAGAACCTTGCTCTGCCCATCTTTTATTTTTTTCCCTGAAAAATATAAATATATCAGAAAATAAATATCATACAATTTGCTTTTATTCATAAATTAATAACTACCAAAAAGATGATGAATATTTTTGGTTATCAAATGTCACAGTACTTTTGAAAAGTTTATCAAACTGTTCTGTATGATATTTTGGTAATGGCTTATTGTATTTTTTCGACCAATTTAACAGTTTTGTTTTTGGCAAGTCTTCAGGTTTCGGGTATAATGATCGTATAAACATACATTTTAAACTATTAACATGATTTGATTCTTCTTCATCAACAGAATTTTGCTTAATTCGTTTTTGGTCATTACGTGCTACATCTCTTTCTTCAAAACGAAGATAGTTCATTTTCTTTTGTTTTTGACGACAATAATCACCTAATTCCCAAACATCACTAAAAAAAAAATCAAAATTATAAAATATTGGGCAAATTACAACTATAAATTAATTTTAATTTCTTAGGATTGGTTCACATTAGTATAGCATTGTATAGGCAGCTAAGTTAAAATAAAACAAAATCTAAAAACTGAAGATTAAGGTGGCTACGTCGTAAAGGAATACACACAAAATATAAGTGAAACAGGTAATTATTTGGAATCGCATGTAATTATGGAATTGTTATAAAAGTAAAGTTTAGGTATAAAGGATATTTTAATAGGGAAGTATGTTTGTAATAAATTTAGACAAAACTGAATACAGACTACAAACTATACTAATGAGAACCTGCCTTTAAACAAACCAAATTTGTTGTAGAGATGTAGACTCCAGAAAATGTCTTCCCTGCTCTGTTTCTTGAATATTTTGTAACATATTTTGAATACAGTATTTTGTATTTGGAGCAACATTATCATAATCAACAGCATGATGTAGGTAATCTCTTATTACATTAAATAATTCTAATTTTCCATCCCTTTTAAATATAGAACAATTTTTTTCAGCTGTCCGTGCTATCATAACACTTGAACAACCAGTTATGTTTTTGAATTTTATTATATCCTCAAACACTTTAATTTCTTTTGACCCACCACTATAACAAAACATTAAAGTACATCAAAAATCTTATTTTTTTAAAGTTATAAATATATATATAAGTAATATACAGGTGCTTTATGCTTTCATTTAATTGGTTTGCTTGCAACCCCTCTCTCTTAACATTTTAGGATTTACATAATTTCTTTTTTTATTTTAAGGTCATAATTCAGTGTTTTATTGGCTTAATTTTTAATTCATTTCTAGATAATTTGTTAGAAATCAAGTTTTTGTCAATATTTTTTATGAATTAAGTCAAATATTATTTTAATTTATTAAAGTGAGATCAAATTTTTATGATCAATAATTAATTTAGATTACATCATATAGAAAAACTGCAACATAAACTTTATTTAATTTAGATAATTTTATGTCAGTAATAAGTGGTCACTATAAATTATATTTATACAATTATGATTGTAATAGATCCAATGATAATTAAAATTTTTTATATTATACTTGAGCATTTTTAATTATTTAAATCCTTGTTCTACTTATGATTCAACCTGTATATAATATTAAATACATATAACTAATGTTTTATATATTTATTTATCTTTACTAACTTAGCAATAACTGGGATATTTAATGCTTCAGATATAGCTTTAATGAAATGGTTTCTATTTGGATGCATTGGTCTCTCTTTAATGGTACGACCATGTATACCGATTGCAGCCACTCCAGTAGCAGCTAATTTTTTACATAACGCAATTGTATCATCAATGTCTTCTAACACACGAATCTTGCATGTCACTGGTATTTTAACAGCTGAAACCACTGCAGAAAGAATTGCACAAGCCTTGTCAGGATGAAATAGAAGAGCAGCTCCCATTCCTCCTTTGAGTGAGAAGTCTTTTGGACAACCCATATTTATGTCAATTCCTGCTACATCTTGTTCTCTAATAGTAATAATTAAAAAAGTAATAAAATTTAGTTTGTGATTATCAAAATTATACTCACACTACTTGTGCAGCTTTGGCTGCTCGTTCAGGATCACTAGTGCCAATTTGAAGAACAACATATGGCTTTTCGCGTGAGCAAGTGCGGAATACTATAGTAGCATCACTTTTGTCAATGTAATCAACACTTTGTAATGTCTCTAAAACAATTAAATTAGTTGTTTAAAATGTAAATACAAATTTTATTTCTAAATTACCATTTACTTTTCGATAACATCTAATCAGCCTATGATCAATCAATTCTTCTGTATATACAATATCTGCTCCATAATCCAATGCTAATAAACGCATTGGTAGAGTGTTTATCCTGACCATAGGTGCCAGCATAATTTTGTTGTCGTAACATAGTCGTTTAATGTTTTCCATACAGACCATAGATAAACTACACGCAGTAAAAATAAGGATATTTTGTAATGAAAATAAGTATTTTTCTTGATTGACTTAACTTTGGTTAAATTATTTTTATTTTGTCATGAAAAAATATTCTATCAAATGTAATTTGAATTTATTTTACGAACAAAATTATTATTTTCATAGTGATATACTAATATACTAACTAAAAAAAATATTCTAAAATAATAACTTTTCAATTTTTTAGTACTCAATAAATAATTCAATTTATTATTTAATTGTATTTTATAATTTAAAAATATTGTGTGATTGTGTTATCATAATATTGATATTATCAGTATTTATTCCATATTATTTATTTATTGTATATTATAACTAAAGCGCGGATTTTTATGCACTTAAAAGTATCGAAATATGGCATATAATATGCAGTAAAAATAATGAAAATATGCAGTCAAAATTATGAAAATATGCAAAAATATACAAGAATTTTTTATTTATTTAAAATTTACAATAAAACTTATAATAATTAATTACTTAAATACTTAATAATAAATAATTTAGGAAATTTTCTAAACTTAATTTATTTTTAAAATTGTATTTATTATTAAAATTAATAATCATATGCATTTCAAGTTTTTCTTCTGTGAAGTTGTATCATTTATCGATTAACATATTTTTAAAGACTGAGAACGAACGTTTGACGTCAACCGAAGTTATTGGGGCATATTTGAAGCAACTTAGTATTGTCGGATCTTGATAAAGATCTTCAAGATGAACGTTTTCACTTAATAACACTGAATTAATTTTTCGTAGAATTTTCAGACCTTCATTTTTATTGGAAAGCTCGTTTAATTTTGTTGTAATTTATAACCACAGAATATTCTGTTATTACTAAGGTTTAAAATGTATATATCACAGAAACCTTTATAACTTATTTGGTCTATGACTCGGCCTTAGATAATTATTAATTGCCCACTAGCTTTGGCCTTTGTTTATGGTGATCCTAAGTCTCGTTTTGATTGGAACCACGGTCTTAGAAGATACCTTCTAAGACCATGATTGGAACACTAAAATGTCCCATTTTCAAATTGTAAACAATGTAAACAAAAAAAAAAATATAACAAAAATTAATTTTTGTTGACTTATATCTAAGAATAGGTTTGTCCAGAATTTTACTTGTGTTTTTGAAGTCACTACTCAACTTATGAAAATGAATTTGTTTCAAAAATAAATATTAGTATAAACTAATAATTAGTTTATACTAATATTTAAGAAAATTACATACACTAATTATTAGTGTATGTAATTTTCTTTTTGATTATTAAATTATTAATAATTTTAATTTGTATAAATATTATAAAATTTTTTATTATATTTAAGATTAATTAAAACTTTTCTCCATTTAAAGAACTTAATTAGCAAATTAATATTGGAATACAAATTGATCCCTTAGATAATAATAATAATAATGAAAAGTTGTTATTAATAGTCAGTTACATAGTTGCTACAGTCAGTTAGACTAAGTTCAGTAAGTTCTACAGCTGAAATTTATTTTCTAGAATCTAGAAAAAAAGTCTCCAAACCAACTACTTAATAATACTCATCTAAAACTTACTATGGACACTGTTTAGTGTTACATTATAATAAAAATAATAGTGACTTATAAATTGTATTTACTCTATTAATAAGATATGATTAAAATGATTAGTATGATATTTTGCTTAAGTTAAGTGTAATGCTATGATTTTATAATATTTATCAAAATGTGGTAAATTCTAGTTTAGCCTCACTTTTTGTAATGTTAATTGACACTGACACAATTGTAATAAAAGGGGGCAGTAGCTTCTTAAATTAGTATGGACATCAGTTAATTTTTTTGCTCTTTCTATAACTGCACTTTAAAAATTACAATGTTCAGATCAAAATTATGTATTTATAAAAGTAACCAACACTAATAAATCATAATCAAGATGATTATAATAATTAAATATTGCAAAGAAAATTATTAAAAGCAATTTTCAATGTAGTGGAGAAAATGTCTATGCCAATCAAAATAAATTTTACTACATATTATTAAGACCATAATGATTTAAAACTACTTTGAAGATAATTTATTATTGTATGAACTCAGGAAAAAACCTTTTTTCTAAATTATCCAAAATCTTGAATGATGTGTAATATGCTAAGACTATGATAGTGTTTGATATTGCACCTATTAAATATTGGAACATGTACAACATTCCCATAACTCTGTCCAAATATTAAATTCACAATTAAGCTGTTTCACTATAAATCTCGTACATAAGTACATTACACCACTACTCAGAGTATTGTAAAATTAATAAATAATATAATTAAACAGTTGTAAGTAGGCAGTCTTATTAACTGGCTTTTATCAAAAGAAAAAAAATAAATATATTTATATAAATTTACATATGGACATAATAATTACAAGTATTAAAAATAATGATGTACATCAAACATTATACTTTTTATACTACTTTTGATTCTTCTTTATTTATATTGCTTGAATTACTATTTTCTTGTTGAGGTTTACCAGCTTGTCGAAATCTCTCAAGTATCATTGCTTCATAATCCAAAAATGCCTAGAAAAAGTTTAATTTTTTTATAAGTACTAGGTTGGTTATCGTGGTTTAAAAAAAAATACTTGTGCAGATGATGTAGTTTTTGAAGTATTTTCAGTATGATTAACATTTTGGTTTTGATAAGCTGAAAATATATTGGTAGGATTTTGAGCTGAAGTATGAGCAGAACTTTTTTTAGTGTCTTGTCCATAATCTCCAAGAAAACTCACAATTAGTGGAAAATTTGGATAACCAACTTCAAAATTTTTGGCATTTATCTAGCAAAATATAATAAGTGTATGAACATAGAAAAGTATGTACACAAAGTTTAATTTAATTTAAAATTACTTACAGCAGAAGTCTTAGATTTGTACTCAACAAGAGCAACACATTTTTTGTTTTCTAGAACCACAACAGTTATAACATCGCCATGCTATAATTATGTAGTGTATTAGAAATAAATATTTAAAACATAATTTTAATAAATTACCTACCTTAGAAAATAATGATGTTAAATTTTCTTTATTATATTTTCCATTTTCTTTCCACTTTACTTTTAGCTTGAATGAACCAATTTTTTCTTTTTCAGATTCTTGCTGCTTAAGGAGCTCATTAACTCGAGCTCTTTCTTTTGCAAGTAGGGATGAACTTTCTTTTCTTAAACGCTCAAGTTCTTTCTATATAAATATATATTATACATGAATATATAAAAAATAAACAAAATAAGAAGTTACCTCAAAATTACGTTCCACTGTGTCTTTTTGTTTTCCTAATGCTGCATTTTCTCGTTTAACAAGATCATCTATGAGTTTCTTTCTTTTCGAATCATATTCTTTCTCACGCAATTTTGCAGCAATTTTAGCATTTACTAATTTGTCATAGGCTAACTAAGAACAAGTAAAAACATTGAAAAAATAACAATTTACAATACAAAAGTAATAAATCTTACTCGTGCTGCAGTGTCTGTAAGAACAGTTAATATTTTAGATAACTGCAAGAATAATTGAGCTGCTTTAGGATTATCAGGATTTTTATCTGGATGGCATTGTAGAGCTTTCTTCCGATAAGCTGTTTTAATCTGATTGAAATAGCCAATATTAATAAGTACTACATTAATGGTCAAAAATTGTCTTACCTCTTTTTCAGTAGCAGACTGTTGGATCTCAAGTATTCCATAAAGGTCTAAGTCTTTCAAATCGGAATCCATCTTAAAAGCCGATGATTAATAATATGAATTATGAATTCTTTAACAACAGACACTAAATATACTGTAAAAACCTTGTTATAAGTTACAATTTATATCATGACAAATAATTCTATAATGATTAATGGAAATAATTTAGTTTGTTATCAGTTAATATCTTAACGGATATCATAGATTATTTTGTGTGGTATCTTTTCAGTTAATGGTTATCAATGCAACTTCCCTGTTTCTGTTATTAGTGTTATTCATACTTCAATACTTCATAGAATATGGTAACTATATAATCTAGTCTGATCGATGTTGATGATAGTTTAAATTTTTCATGAGATGTTTCTCTTTTAAATATTTATGTTAATTTTTTCATTATAATATATCATAATAATGAATCCTGGCATTCCAATTTTTCCAACTATGATCCCAAATATTGTAAATCCATTATGGTTTAGCGTTGATGAGCCTAAAAACGAAGATACAGAACTTATACGAATTGAAAGTATACATCAAAACTGGGTAAATTTTAAAAGATCTATTAAAATATTTTATAAACGGATTTATTATAAATATGAAATAATGATCCGTTTATTTTTCAGTTACTTACATTAACAAATAAAATCAACGACAAGGACTTTCCGGTACCAATTGGCAAAACGGCAACTGAAGTAATATACTTGTTAAAATATTATCATAATTAATAATTTTCCTGCATTATTTGTATTGTACAGTTTTTATTTACAAGTTATAGTTTATCTATGTGTTATAATATTATTTTTAGTGATATTTGAAGTATATTTTTTAGATATAAAAAAATAGATACAAAGGTACCTATTAAATATTTATTATGACAATGTACAATAAACATCACTTAGTCATAATAATTAAAAAAAAAAAATTGTTTGAATAAAACATATTTATTTAAAATATTTATGTTTGGGTACAATATATAATTATTCTGTTTAAGACTGTTCTTATATTAGTTGATAGTTATGCTATCATTACAATATTATTACATATTAATATGTATATTTTATGCTTTATTTATTATTTTTATTAATTTTCCTTTTTACATAGGTGCAAGATGAAGAAGATGAAGAAGATGAAGAGGAAGAAGTCAATGCTTCAGATGATAGTGAAACCCATGATGAGGAAGATGATGATGTCGAAATGGATGTTACCAATACATATGATCGAGATTCACCCATTTCTGTTTCTACTAGATAAAAATAAATAATATTAGTTATTTTTTGAATAATCTACGATGAAAATTGTTTACTCATTTCAATATGTCATTATATTATATAACTAAATAAGAGTTAAATACATTTTTAAATGCTTTTCATTTATCATATATTTTACAATATTAAAATAATTGATTGAAAACATGAAAAAATTTAACAACTGTATATAATATATAAAATTTATTAATATTATTTTTTTTTTTAACAAATCAGTGTTAATATAGTGTGATTCTTTTGACAGAAAACACTCATTACTCAAAAAGTATTTAGAATTTTGAAAATATTTGTTTTTCATAATTTAATCATTGCAAAAAAAAAAAATTTTTAGTTCTCATTTTTCTGAATAATTCATTTAATTTTAATTTTTTGAATCAGATTTTTTGCTTGAAAATTTTAAATTTTTATAATATAATTTCAAAATAAAATAATATGTGTTACTGTGTGGAGTACTCAGCAAAATATTTATCCACTACTCTGATCCTAAAATGCTTTTAAGTTCTAACTCTTGTTAACTATTTGAATATGTTCTATTTAATTATACTCCTGTGTTTAATATTTACATAGTTATAGTTTAGGTTATAATGGAGTACACAATGTAGTACACTACTATACTATTTCTTATTATAAACTATTGTTACTGAATAACAGACATTTAATTTTTTCTTTGGCATTGTCTATTGCATAATGTCTGTAGACCTAGTAATATACTGATATAATTTACCTATTCAATACATATTATTATGAATTATGATAATATGGTAATTAGTGTGTATTATTATTTTTATTTATATTGTTTTAATATTTATAATAAATTAGATAATATGAATATAAATTTTAATCAAGATCTCATAAATCATGAATTAGTAAATTAGGAGTGATAAAAATTCGTGTTATCACTTAAGTTTTCAAGGTCATAAGTTATGCACACCACTAGAGAAATTTAAATTATTTCTGAATTTCTAATTGATGATTTATATTATCAAAAAAACTTGTCGGTTAATAGTTATTTCTTATTCAGTTCATTTAATTTTTATGATAAATTACCAAATTTAATTGCTAAGTAAATAGTGATGTAATACAAGTTAACCAAAGTCTAAAATGTTTTTAGAAAAGTAAAATTAAACTCAGTGTGTGACGAGGAAAGTTAATTAATATGTTGGGTAGAGTAATTGGATTAGGTATTCTGAGTGGTACAGTAGCAACTGCTTACTCTTTTTATGAAAATGATTTTAATATTGATTCAGTCGGTATTGTTCGATTTAGTCGAGCCGCCTCTACTGTAAGTTTTAGTATTCATTTCAGAGTAAATGTAAGTAAAAATTACTAAATTTTATGACCAAACTATTTTTTTTAGGGAATACATGTAATGTATCATTATAAGACTACTTTGTATGCACCATCGGTTAATAAATCTCTACCAAATTATCAAGAAATAAGATCAAAAGTATGTTAATTTCTAAATATTTAATTTTTTTTTTTTAAACTATCAAACTTCACATCAATCTTTGTAACAATTTATTAATTTTGTTTAGTCTCACGAGAAAGCTGCAGAATTATTATTAGAACTATGTCGCACTAATAAAGGTGTTTATATTAAGATTGGACAACATATTGGGGCATTAGAAAATCTTTTTCCAAAAGAATATACAGATACATTGAAGGTTTTGCATAGTCAAGCTCCCATTACACCATTGAAAGAAATTTACAAAATAATCAAAGAGGATCTTAAACAAGATGTATGTATTACAATTTTAAGCTTATTAAATAATGTGTGTGCCCATACATTTTATAGTACAATATATTATATACAATACAATATAGCACTGTTTCTTTACCTTTACTTACATTGAAGTAATTATTTTTATCCATTAATTTTTACACAAATTATGAAATTATTATGCCGGAGAGCAGGTCTTATGTTAGTAATATACGTTTGATTTAATTCTATTAAAAATAATTTGTATATTCAGTATTTGTAATGTACATATTTATGAAAGCTGTTATTTTCATTAAGTTATTTGGAATAAATTTCTATTATTTTATTATAGATAAAATTGTTCAAACATTTTTCACTTTTTTTTTTTTAAATATTAATATAGTTAATAAATATAAATTGAAACTTGATATTATCAATTTTAAGTTTGGTTTAAAAAAAACAAAAATATCATATGTATTGACAATATAATTAATCAGAGTTATATCTGTCAAGTGTTATAATCTATAACATTTTGTTGATACAAAAAATAATTATCTCAGGAATATTAATTTTTTTTCTATTCATAAATCTTCAAAAAAATTGTTCTAAAATGGAAAATTGAGATTGGAGTTATTCAACGAATTCTCCAAAATTATTTACAACCTCGAATGGATCCTCAAGGTTGAAACATTGCAATATAGTATGTAGTATATATTTATTGAATTAATAAAATAAAATATCTTAACAAGTTGATATTATTTATAATTAAAGGCCGATCAGTTGTTTAGCGAAATTGATCCAAAACCACTAGGTGCAGCTTCGTTGGCTCAAGTACATAAGGCAAAATTACGATCAACAGGAGAAAATGTTGCAGTTAAAGTACAGCATTCATATGTCCGGGGAAATGCTAAAATAGATATTGCTACAATTGAAGTAATTTACTATACAACACAAATCAGTGGCGAATTTTTTAGTCATGCTTGAGAATAAAAACATAATTACATAAATTATAATACCATCAATTATTAGTTTAATTATTTCATAACAATTATAATATATGATAGAAATTTGGTAAAATGTATATGTATTCATTATGATTTAATTTTTTTTTGAACTGGTAAAGCATATGTTGAGTATGCTAAAAAAAAATTGAGCATGTCCTTGTTTTGTGGTCATGATTCGTCACTGATACAATTATTATATCTAAAATATATTAATATTAGCATAAACTCATTTTCTTGATAAATAATAATTGTAATTATATTGTTTTAGACTTTAGTGAACATTGGTTCCTATATTTTTCCCGATTTTAAATTTAAATGGCTTGTGAAACAAACAAAACAGAATATACCAAAAGAATTAGATTTTACAATTGAAGCACAAAATACTGAAACTCTTAGATCAATGTTCAAACACTTTAAGTGGTTAAAGGTATTATTATTTTAAGCTAGTGTAGTCAAATACATATTTATTTAACTTTTAGTACAGTAATTTAACTTTATATATATGTATAAAATAACTCGCCCAAAATTAATATTGAAGCATGTTTTTTTTGTGTTAATTTCTAGGTACCAAAGATATATGATGAGTTTAGTTCTTCTAGAGTTTTAACTTTAGAATTTTTTGAAGGTGGACAAATCAATGATCTTGATTATATCAATCGAAATAAGTAAGTATATAATATATTAATAACATTTGTAATAATTAACTACCACAGTTATATTTTACACCATACACAATGTATATAATATTATATTATATATGTTAATCATTTAAATTGTGGCGTGAATAAAAATAATCAAAGTGCATACATTTAGATTAAAAGTGGATGAAATATCTGATAAACTGGGAAGTTTATACAGTGAAATGATATTCAAAAATGGGTTTGTACACAGTGATCCTCATCCCGGTAATTTGTTGGTGAACAAAGATAAAAACGGTGAATTGAATTTGATACTTTTGGATCATGGACTTTACGCTGTAAGTTTTGAACTTCTATGTTTATCTATTTGATTTTTCAATTAACTATTTGTTTCAGACATTGACTGATAGCTTTCGACGTACTTATGCTAAATTATGGATGAGTATATTGGATAATAATCATGATAGAATGAAAAAATACTGCACCAAACTAGGCGTAGCTGAAATGTATGGTCTACTTGTGTGTATGGTAGCTGGGCGTACTTGGGATTCCGTTCAAGATGGTATTGTTACTAAGAAATTAACTGATGTTGAAGTAATCAAAAATAATAAAACTATGAAAGAAAAACTAATTATTTTTAGTTCTTATTTTATAGAAAGAAAAATTTCAAAGTGGAATTCCGTTGGTGTTGACTGAAACTTTGTATATTTTGGAAACTGTAAATCCTCAAATTTTGTTATTACTTAAAACTAATGACTTGATACGTGGTATTGACACAACTTTAGGAACATTGTCTAAGTAAAGTATTTTATTTATTTATTGAAAAATTTAAAATACAATGTTATTATATGTATTTAGGTTAACATCTTTACGTCCAATGACTATAAGCTGCATAAACACAATTTATGATAAACCGTTATACAAAAGTTCATTTTGGCCCAGCTTAAGTATTCGATTCAGAAAACAATGGTTACTTTTAAAAGCTAAGCTATTTTTTTTCTGGCTCAGCATTATTGATACTGCTTAATTTTAATAACAGCCAGTAATCAAAAGTTAATTTGATAAATAAATATAAATCAAAATATTTTTTCATAAATATTTAAGTTATATTTTTATTATTTCATTTATCAAAAATTGGTGTTAATATCATATTATGAGTGGAATTGGTCCTTATTTTGTAATGTTGATAGAGTGTCAATTCAATGATTAATGTTTCATATAAACTTGTATTTACTAAAAATAATCATTCCATCATTGTATATATTTAATCATATTTTTGGAAAGATTTATTGATATATATTTGAAGGCGTCACCATTCATATCCATAATTTAAGATGGTATCATAAATCAATATATTCATAGTATTAGAGCTTATACTGGTTTTAGTATCAGTTTATACTGTTCATACAATTTATTATGTATTTTAGATCTTGGTTTATAGTATCAAATGTATTGATTTATATTATATAAGTTAAATCTATATGATTTAAAGGTTAGTATGTTGGGACATGTCCTCCTATTTACTTCACATTTTTCGTTGATGTAACCAGAATTGTATTAATTTATACTGTACTGTTATTGTAATTAAATTGTGCACTTTAGTGAACCTGCACGTATATAAAAAAATAACTCAATAAAAAATGTCCTAAATAATTCAGTATTAGGATTCTCAAGCAATGA